TACAGCAGGTCACGTACACTCGGCTGTACAGCTGGTCATGTACACTCGCCTGTACAGCAGGTCACGTACACTCGGCTGTACAGCTGGTCATGTACACTCGCCTGTACAGCAGGTCACGTACACTCGTCTGTACAGCAGGTCACGAACACTCGTCTGTGCAGCAGGTCATGTACACTCGCCTGTGCAGCAGGTCATGTACACTCGTCTGTACAGCAGGTCATGTACACTCGTCTGTACAGCAGGTCATGTACGTACACTCGTCTGTACAGCAGGTCATGTACACTCGTCTGTACAAAAGGTCATGTACACTCGTCTGTACAGCAGGTCACGTACACTCATCTGTACAGCAGGTCACATACACTCGTCTGTACAGCAGGTCATGTACACACGTCTGTAGAGCAGGTCACGTACACTCGCATGTACAGCAGCATACAAGACCAGAAACACACCTCTCCTCTTCCCTATTACACATATATTATTCATGGGATTTTGTTGATGATTTATGTCTTGAAATGTAAATCTTCTAAAAGACAGATTATCTGGGTCATGGTGAAAAGGTTAGCTACAGGAATCTATAACAATTATATACTCCAGATCTTCTGAAACAATACCTTTTATATAGATTCACTATGAAAACAGTACAGATGAGATCTGGTACCTGGTATGTTATTTTGATCATATTAGTATATATCTCACAAGTTTGTGATCCTGGGCATTCAAAGATATCTTACAGTCCCTTCAACTTCCAGGATATCAATATTTATTAGAATCCAGTGTATGACACACAGCTGTATGTGGGTGTCCTATATTAGTCACTGTGACTGTCCATACTTCTATTCTCAGATATTATCTGGTGATCAGAATCCAGAATTGAAAAAAATAAAAAATAAATCATATAATGATACACTGTTATGTGAAGATTTTGTACAGCTAGCACATGGCCTATTTTGTATGGACAAACAACTGAACTAAATATCATTACACATAGCAGAGGCCTTGTAGAGGCTGCAACAGTGCTTGAAATTAGGCAAATCTGCATATATACACATGTACATGAGCCTATAGTTGTGGGGGTATACAGCAGTATAAATTGCCTAAACTTGTACTGGCATACCTCAGAACATCAAATCAGATAATCAGAGTTGGTATCTGTATATTATACATATAGTTAATATATATATATATATAGAAAGAGATACTTGTATTATTGAAACACTTATATGTTACATCATATTGTAACTAAAACACAGTTGTGATATCATTCATTATTGTCACTGTACAGTTGTGACACCATCCATTATTATCACTGTACAGTTGTTGTTGTCACTGTACAGCTGTGACATCATCCTTTGTTGTCACTGTACAGTTTTGACATCATCTGTATTCACTATACAGTTGTGACATCATACTCTGTTGTCACTGTACAGTTGTGACATCATCCTCTGTAGTCACTGTACAGCTGTGACATCATCCTTTGTTGTCACTGTACAGTTTTGACATCATCTGTATTCACTATACAGTTGTGACATCATACTCTGTTGTCACTGTACAGTTGTGACATCATCCTTTGTTGTCACTGTACAGTTGTAACATCATCCTCTGCTGTCACTGTACAGTTGTGACATCATCTTCTGTAGTCACTGTACAGCTGTGACATCATACTCTGTTGTCACTGTACAGCTGTGACATCATCCTCTGTAGTCACTGTACAG